ATCTAATATCAGTAGGAGATTTACTACCTAGTAATCTCAAATTAACCACTCAATATTTTAATTTCCACTCTAAGGAAATGATTAAAATATTTCTACAAGTACTGAAACGAAGGAGGCTTACATTTATTACAGTTTACTTACTTAATTTTCACTCCAGATCATCACGTTATGAGTAGCTTAAGGTATGCCCACATCCTCCATCTTATGAGTACCTATCCTCGCGTAATAGCGGACACAGATATCTCTCTGCAAGGTCATATCGAGATAGGTTTGTTTACCCTATTCGATTGTCTGATGAATATAAAGGAATATCAAAGAAAAAGTACCTCTTGCTTGTGTGGTGGATACATCATTATTATTTGGGAGCCATTTTATTGGCAAGAACTTTTTAGCTGTCAACATACATCGATCTTTGGATGACAAGCAAGAGACTGTAGATATGGTATCGGGTCAAATCTGTTAATAACCTGGTACAGCTATAGTCATAGAAGTTTGTTTTTATCATTTAGTACATTTACTTTATTATTACTGGATATTATTGATTTAACTTGTTTTCACTTTAAGTTTTTATATATAGAAGGTTCAGTTTTGGAAATGACATTCGGATTAAAACGGATAGTTTTAGTCATTGACCAGTATATTTTTCTTTATGATCCTTACGTTCACTTCGGAAAAAGTTGACCAAGAGTGCTTCCTTGGTTCTAATTAAAGCTTCCATTCATGGAATACATTATGAACACGAAGTTAAAGATCTTACTGTTGTTATATAATGGGAATTAAGAAAAGTTAGCTTCAGTCTAATCACTCATGGGACCGGTAGTTGGTTAGTAACATTTCTTAGTGCGATACTGAAATATTAGTACATTAACTCTTATAGTAACAAGTTATTTTGGAATTAGAGGGTTTAGTAATTTGATGATCAGGTTTTGGATTGTTAAAATGAATTCATAGAATGGTGATCGACCTATGACTATTATGGTACAGTGTTGGTAATTGATAACTGTTAACGAGGCTAGATAATTGCACCAAATCTGGTTGAATATATAGGATAAGACAGCTGTCCAGCAGGATACATTTTATAGTAAGATAATATGTTTACGAGTAAGTATCAACAGAGAACTTAGTGATTAATTACTACAAAGGATTGACGGGAATCAATTTTGTAGGTCACTCTTCAATACATTAAGACTTTCACCATCATATGTACGTAGTTTGTAATCAGCCGTAAGTAGTTTTGTACTTGGTATATACACTGAGCATATTTTTTTAGATTTCGTTTAAATGTTTAAGTCTAATTCAATTTCGAATGGAAGTTGTGAAATAAAACTATCATACTTTTAATCCAATATTATACTAACTAGTCATTAGGATAAATGCACGTTTGAATAATAAGCAGTAAAAACTATGACTTAGTTTTAGCATAATTTTGAATTAATCCAAGTTCTTACTACAATTCAATAACCAAGTACAGATTCATGTAGTCTCTTTCAAAACATACATTTTTATATGAAAGCTAATGATACTATTCGGTCTCTTAAAGTAGCCGGAGTGGGGTCCAAACTTGAAATCTGAAGATCGAAATTGAGGTGCTTTTTTTTTTAGTGAACTATCGCTTCATCTATCCATGTTGTCAGCGAAGAGAAAAATCAAAGAGGTTAAAACAATATCAACACCATTGGAAGCGTCTAAAAGAATAAATAGAGTCAATAATAATAATAATAGTCCCATATTAAAGTCGTAAATCTAAATGATGAACAAATGTATCTGGTTCACTTTGATCGGTTTTAGCCCGCCGTATTATACAAATTCTCCATTTTTAGTTTTCACATTGAGTCTTAGTTATCGTTACTTATTTGTTCTTGTTTATTGTAAATATGTATGTGTAAAGTAGCATCATTGTACATTTTTGTCAGTTTCTTATTTGAATAAGCTTTGCTGAAATCATATTTAGTTTGAAAGTTTATTCAATCTAGTACATTATGATTTTAAATGAATAATCGTCATAACCTCTTTATTATAATTTAATGTTAACTGTGACTCAGTGAATGGCAAGATTATTCTATTGTTTGTCCAAATACTATTTATTATTTTGAAAGTTGGTCTGTTTGCGTTTTTGTTGTTTCAGTGCAATATCTTTTGTGGATTCATCAGAATGTTATGATCTCTTACGTACTCTAAAACCAAATGTAGCTGCACAGTTACATCCAAATAATGTTCGTAAAGTAAAAAGAGCACTTCTCGATGCTTTGAAAACATCTATTCAGACTGAAACACAAACTGAATCAAATGAGAATATAGAAAATACAGATTTAGAAAAACAAGTTTTAAATCGATCTATTAAACCTCGATATCCTGGAGATTCACTCATATTATGGTTGGATTGTGCTTCTGATGTTTTGAATACTCAATTAAATAAGCGAGTGGATAAAATGTTGGATTCCGGGTTGGTTGATGAGTTGGACACTTTTCTTAATAAAGTGAATGTTTCGCCACCTATATTTAATGAGACGGAAACATTTGATGCAAATGGTAAGAATAAAGTATATATGGATACGATTTCTTATGACTTAGTTGATAATAGTATGGACTATATCGTTGCTGATATTTTGCCTGAAATTTGATGAGTCTGAGTTGGCATACGTGGATTCCATGCAGATCACTCCAACGTGGTCAATTTGGCACAGTTTCATAGACGAACTGTGGTTAGCGATGAAATCCAGGACGCGCATTCCGTCCAATTGCGGACTCGTCAGCATGATTTACATAAATCCAAGAGTTGATGTTTATTTTGGAGTTCGATTTATTCTATATAGGCTTATGTTAAAATAGCAATACTAAGGTGGTCCACTCGAAGTGCATATTTACCAACTAAGACTAATCGTATTTCAAACAAAATCTTGAAAACGGGTCAATGCAAACCATTATCAATCAAATTAAAATTCACACCTATTTCACAAGTGACTATCCGGATTCAATGGCTAAGTGCATAACGCGTTGGCGTATAAGGCTAAAAGGTGCTGGGTTCAAACCACAGAGTAGACGCCAACTCTAGGATGCAGGTACATCCAGCTGATGAGTCCCGATGGCACGAAACCCTCGTCCTAGGTAATAAAGGCTGGTAATAACGGTTAAATGAATGGTATCGAAGCAGCTTAGAACCAGTCGTAGTGTACACTAATATGTCGAGCTAACATGGCTTGTCTCAGCCCTTAGACAAACTAATTAATCCACTCCTCGAGTCATTGTTCACATATCTTTTGACATTGTCAATTGTTCGCTCATAACCTTCGTTGTTTTTATGTGAATGTGTGCGAGCATTGCGTACTTTGCTTATCACTTGTCTAGCTTATTTTTCTTTGACTGTAAATACTTAGTCATGCTTCATGACATTGAGTTGGCCCACTCACCTCCTCCACTTCACTTCACATTCTACCGTTTGTCTGCTTACGTAAATGTATGAAATAAGTCCATCCACACAAAACTGTATTGAGCTTCTAATTACCGCCATCGCACAAACAGAATTAGCCGAAATATAATAAAAGAAAATTAAATGGAGGCTTTATTTTATACAATATTTAGTCGTTCGTCTAAATGGAAGTCAGATTCAGGGCTACTAAACTGTATAACTATCTCTAACCTTTTCAATTTTGAATTTGAACATTATTATGCTAATAATTTCTTTTTCCATTTTATTAAAATCAGAAAATGTCAAGCGAACTCGAGTAGAAAAATTAAAGAATTTGTTTTCTGTAGAATTGGAAACTGTGTCAGATCCTATGACCCGTCGTGGTCTACTTCAAAGTATTGGATTCAAAGAATTTTCTGACTATTTAGCCTTATTACCAGAAGAACGTGATACTGTGGAGGCAAGTGTTCTTCTGAAACGAGCAGTAAACAATGTTAAGACAGCAACTCGACAGTATGCACGTCGTCAGGTGAGTACATTGCTTTTTTTGTTATTGATTGGAATATCTCTGTTGAAAAGTTACAGTTGATCATGTTTGTTATTGTTGACATGTTTGGTTCTAATTTTTATAAACTTAGTAGTCTGTTCATAATACATGCTACTTTTTTTTACGCGGGTTTATTATTTTTGCAGATTCGTTCTTGACTTTGATTATTCACTTTTTTGTTTATCAGTAATACTATTTCCCAAAATTTAGTATACTATTAGGGAAGTTACGAAACGAATCAGTGTGCATTGTCAAATAAAAATTGCTCATTAAACATTTATAGAATTCCATATTTCATTGACTATCCTTTCATATAGATAGTTCCCTTACTCATATTGATGAGAGCAAAAATGATGATTTAAGCAGATTAACATGAATTCGTTGTATTTCGTTTGGTTCTCCTTGTTTGTTTAGAACCTGCATTATTAGGAAATGAGTTGAAGACTACTGAAGTCAGTCAGTCAGTCAGCCAGTTGCAACGTAGAACTTCGTACGTATGTACATAAGTTCATGTTGCCATACCACAGCACAGAGACGCAAATGTCAAATCGAATCCCATAGTGATAAAGATAGAAGAGGTATTAATGTTAATAAAGAAGACTAGGGTTCGAAGGTATTATTCAAGAAATATAATTCAGTGAGATAAGGTTAGAAAGACAAAGGTAGAGGTGCTGACGAATCCAGAAGATTAGGATTTGAGAGAGCTCAAAGAATGGATGCACCTGCGCCATTGCAAACGATTTTGAGCCATGTCGTTCCAGTTCTCTAACCATCGGTGACTTTCGTCTCTCGGATCCCAACCAGATAGCCTACATCTACCAACATGACTCAGTCCACTTGTCAGTGACTTCATGGATTTCTGCCATGTTTTGGTCTGGCCGCCCTTAACTTTCTTCCAACCTACTCCTAGACCACAAAACATAGCTCGTCGAGGCAGTCAGTCAGTCATATGCAACGTAGAACTTGGTACGTAAGTACATCAGTTCATGTTGCCATACCACATCAGCACAGAGATATAATTGTCAATTCAAATCCAATAGTAGAAGAGGTCGCAAAGGTACTGGAAGTAATCGGAGAGGTTAGGGTTAGAAGATACTATTCAAGAAGTATTATACAGTGAGAAAAGTTTAGAGAGTCGAGACTAGAGGTGTTGAAGAATCCAGAAGATTAGGATTTGACAGAACACAAAGAATAAATGCACCGGCGCCATTGCGAACGATTTTGAGCCATGTCATTCAAGGTCTCTAACCATCGATTATTATCATCTCGCGGACCCCAACCAGGTAGTCGACAATTACCGACATGGCTAAGTCCACTCGTCAATGACTTCATGGATTTCTGCCATGTTTTGGTCTGGCCGCCCTTAACTTTCTTCCAACCTACTCCTACACTACAAAACAAAGTTCGTCGAGGCAGTCGGTGCTTAGGCATACGCAAGACATGTCCCAACCACCTCAACTGATGAAGTTTCACCACTTCATCGATTGATCTACCATCCTTGCCTAGTACTCGTTTCCTAACGACAGCATTGCTTACTCTGTTGTCCCACGGTATATGAGCAATGCTTCGAAGACACCTATGATCGAAAACCAGTAACCTACGAATATCCTCTACTGTCACTGGCCATGTTTTACAGCTATATAGGAGAACGGAGCGAACTGCTGCACAGTACACTCGTCCTTTGATTAGAGAACGGATATCACGCCTACGCCATAAGTGACGCAGGTTGACAAAAGCCAATCGAGCTTTCTGTATCCGAGCTGAGATTTCGTCAGTCACCAGGCCATCGGCACAGATGAGACTCCCAAGATAAGTGAAGCGGTCTACTACTTCACTCCCTATCACTAGTTCAGGTGCCGATAATGCAACCCGATCTTGAAGCAACATTTTGCATTTCGAGGGGGAAAACCGCATTCCGAACATGCTTGCATTGTTTCTTAGGGTAGTCAGAAGACTCTGCATTTTGTCAGCGTCTTCACCAAGTAGGACTATGTCATCGGCATATTCTAAGTCAATAAGCGAGCCATCTGGTAGAAGGTCTACTCCTGAAAATTCAGACGAGGATAAGGTTATATCTAGGAGCATGTCTATGATAAAATTAAACAAGAATGGAGAAAGTAGACATCCCTGACGGACACCACTTGAAGTAGAGAATTCTGGTGACAGTTCGCCATACGCTCTCACTCGACCAGTGGTGTTCGAGTAAAGGGCTTGTATAAGGTTAATGTACTTCTTTGGTACACCTTTCAATGACAGACACTGCCACAGAACCTCACGATCCACAGAGTCAAATGCCGCTTTTAGGTCCAGGAAAACAACTATTGTAGGACGCCTAAATGTGTGTCTGTGTTCCAGGACCTGTCGTAGTGTGTTGATGTGGTCTATACAACCACGTCCGGGTCGAAAACCAGCCTGGTTTTCTCGAGTCTGCTCTTCACGAGCTCTACTTAAGCGTCGAAGTATTATTGAGGCTAATATTTTAGATACTATATTAGTTAGACTTATTCGCCTGTGATTGTCACAAGAAGACTTTTGTCCTTTCTTATAGATTGGGACAATCAGTGATTGAGACCAGTCGGATGGGATTGTGTCCAGTTCCCAGATTCTACTTAAGATCTCAATCAACCTAGCTAATAAAACTGGACCACCATCCTTAAATATCTCAGGGGTCAATCTATCAGGAACTGTAGCTCGTCCTCGTTTCAGACTTCCTAACGCTTTCTCAACGTCATTAAGACTAGGGGGACTTAGGTCGATTTGCCATTCAGGATGACTGGAGATCGTGGGTAACCGAAGAGTGGCTCGTGGCCAGTTGAACTGATCCCTAAAGTGTTCTGCCCATCGGTCCAGCCTCCTAGATTGAGAATGGATAATAAAACCATCCTTTTCCGAGATAGTCTCACTCACATTCGGGTTCCTAATACCGGTTTCTTTGATAAGGCGGAAAAGTTGTCTAGTGTTGCCTATCGCCGCTGCCTTTTCCATCGCTTTTGATTTCGCCACCCACCACTGTTCACGGTCGTTACGTAGGCTTTTTATAAGTCTGCGCCTAAGCTGACTACGCTCTTCATCATGTTCAGAGTCAGGTGGGATGCGTTTTCGAGCATCCATCAGTTCGGTGGATGCGACTGAAATGAAGACTACTGAAGCCATATCCTCACCTGTAAATTAGTTAAGGCTTTGAATTAGCTTGTATGACAGATAATCGGTACTATTTTAATCCTTAAAGAGTCTTTAATATTTCCATGCTATGGGATTTCACATGTCTATGCATTATAAACAAACATTTTTTATTGCATGTAGGTATCTGGTTATATATGTATTCCTCTTGCTTACTGAAACGTTAAGTCTTAAACTATATATGTACATATTTAGGTGACAGCGGCTTGTCCATTTGTATATCTATTTGGATGGTAAGTATTAATTCATTGATTCCGCCGTCTTGCTGTTTTTTTTTCAGTATCCTTTTGATTTGTCCGTCTGAAAAAATTATCCTGACTGCTTTATAATAACAATTATTCGGTTGATTTGTACACGAATTAGTAAAATAAACACGGAGATATCCGTTACAAAATATACAAATAAGTTTAATTGGGAATTTTTTTAAGCATATATCAGCTTAGTATAGTAAGGATCTGAATAAATGTGATAGGTTAAATGTAAATACTGCGAAGTTATTTCTTCGCAACAATGATAATAAAAAAAGACCAAGGAGCTGGATATGTGTTTATGTTATGAACAAACGTTAATATTATAAGTAAAGCTAAGTTACCGAATAACGAAAGTAACTCTTGGTGTCACTGAAAAACAGTTCAACACAACATTTTCCTTCTTTGAAAAAATAGGTTATTCAGTCGAACAAAACATGCGTTCTTAATTCCACCTCTAACTATAATCTATCCATTCTGTTAAGATGACGCTTATATTATGAATTCAAAGTAATTGTTTTGAGTCCCTTTAAACTGGAAATGATTTAAATTTTAACAAGAAGGATAAATAGATTGTATGGATTTTGAAATATCTATTTAATTTAAGATTTATGACTCACATTTTAATAATTCTTAGAAACCATATGTATCGACGTGTAACGCCGGTTGTAACGTTGCAAGAACATCATAATAATAATGGGCTGTAAACTTTGTGTTCATTCATTAAGTATATAAAGCCGTATAAATTACTGGAGTTTAGATTGTATGGTTAGGAAACATGCAGCTGAACTATCTGGACTTCACAGATGATCTGGCTGTTCTATCACACGCGCAACAAATGCAAGAGAAGACGATAAGTGTGGCAGCAGCCTCAGCAGCGAAAAGCAAGACTCTCCGATACAACACAACACGTGCCAACCAAACCACTCTTTATGGAGATGCCTTGGCGGACGTAAACACCTTTACACATCTGGTCAGCATCATCGACAATCAAGGTGGATCTGATGCAGATGTGAAGGCGCGGATTGGCAAAGCAAGGGCTGCATTTCTACAACTGAAAAATATCTGGAACTCCAAACAACTTTCAACCAAAACCAAAATCAGGATTTTCAATACAAATGTCAAGACAGTTCTACTGTATGGAGCGGAAACTTGGAGAACTACCGAAGCCATCATCCAGAAGATACAAGTGTTTATTAACAGTTGTCTACGCAAAATACTTCGGGATTCGTTGGCTAGACACCATCAGTAACAACCTACTGCGGAAGTGAACAAACAAAGTTTCACCGGAGGAGGGAATCAGGAAGAAGCGCTGGAAGTGGATAGGACACACACTACGAAAAGCACCCAACTGCGTCACGAGACAAGCCCTCACATGAAACCCTCAAGGCAAATGGAAAAGAGGAATGCCAAGGAACACATTACGCCGAGAAGTAGAGAAAGGTATGGGAGGAATGAACAAACATTGGACAGAACTGGAAAGGGAAGCCCAGAACAGATCAGGTTGGAGAACACTGGTCGGCGGCCTATGCTCCATTGGAGTTGACAGGCGTAAGTAAGTAAGATTAGGAAACAGTCGCAATGTTAACAATTTATTTGTTGAAATAATGGACGTGAATGTTTTATTGATTGTTTCTAAGTATCTGTAGGAAGTAATAACCTACAGACGAGATTTTAAGCAAACTCCTAGACTGTCAAACACAGACTCCTAACTTCGTCAAAGTTAGAATAAGTAAGCTATTTGGTTTGATAAAATGTAGATTAACACTGTTAGTTTGCAAAATACATAAATCAATACAGTCTATTTAAGAGGAAAACAAATGACGTGAAAAACACTGAACAGTAGCTGAAGAAAACTGGTCAACGAATTCAGTATCGTTTATAAAAAACATGAAAGATTAAGGTCGACGAATAAGCAAGTCATAGTCGCACAAAGTCCAAGAGTCAATGAAATGGTATGCGTTTAGTACTATCATTGGTGGGTTCGTTTATCAATCACGTCCTACACTATTATTTGATACAGTATATTTCACGATCAAGTCACTTTGATTGGTAACAGCAGGCGTTCAGTGTATTTGTCTTTTTCAAAAGCTAACACACTTTCATGATTATTTGTGGAGATTTTCTCTCCTTATTTCTTGTTCATCTTGTTTGTTTGTTTGTTTTTGGTAAATTTTCTCTGTGTACTGTTAAGTGTCGTAAGAACATGAACCAACGTTATTTAATTTTATATTCTGTTCGCCAGTTTTTATATCAAAAAGCCTAACATTGCTTAAACATAAGTATGGTAATTCGTTTTTAATGTTTCTCTTTATCAGGTTTCTTGGGTTAGAAATCGATTTTTACGACGTCCTGTAGAAGGTAGCATTCCTGTCTATCGCATAGATGTAACAGATTTCTTAAATTCTGAATCTCCAGTTACTTGGAACAGAACAATTGTTGCACCATCCATACGCTTAGTTTACAATGAATTAATGAAGATTGATTATTCTATTCTTGAAAATCTGAAAAATAATGATTATCTAAAAAGTCTACTTGAGATTTGTCCTGAAAACTCTTGTCCTAAAACAGAACCATTTCTTCTGCCCAAATCTTTTATTGAATCAAACAACACCGATTCCCCATTCATTTGTTCAATATGTTCTAATAGAATATTTACACAAATCGATAGTTGGGAGGCTCATTTAAAAAGCAGAGCACATCAAAAACGTGCAATAAAATACAAAAAACGATTACTTGTCGAGAATGCAATGAAAAATTTACCATCATGATTTTTTATTGAAAAGATATTGTTTTGTACAAAAATTTTTTAAATAAAATAATTCACATTGATGTTCATACTTACTATTCAATTGGTTATGTAATTTGTTGGGTTGTAGTTAGTTAACCAGTCAGTAATATAACTCAGTAACTACTAGGAGTTTCAACCATTTACAACCACCTAACATCAAACATGGTGCACACTGTGTTGAATCTCTTAGATTTGTTGGCTACATTGCCGCTTGATCGATAAAATCCGGTCAATATATGAGAATCGGACGAAAATAACGTTAGTCACTACTCGGTGCTCGATCAGTTGTGCATGGGTCCAGTGTAAATGTAATCCGGTATACTGCATAGGATACTTTCTGTCATTCAATTGTGTATTGAAATCTCATAACAGACTTAACTCTATGTAACCAAGTCATATCGTATGGTGGATTTGCTTGACAGATTATTCAACTGCTTATGTAAGGTACATCAGTATGCAGCACGAAACAAGGCTCACTAGCACGAATCGCTACACTTTTCGACACTGCGAAAACAGTAACTCAACGGAATTAGCGAAATATTAAAAGAAACAAGAATATATGGGACCATGTGATCAATGTAATTCTAATATTAAGTTTTTCGACGTTTTGGAAAGGTGTACGTTCGATATATTTGCATCAGTGGTCAGATCCTCGTCTTTTACATAATTACATATGTCGCGTGTGCTAACATATCGAGCTCACATGGCTTGTCCCAGACTTTAGACAAACTAATTAATCTATTCTTTTCGAGATATTGTTCACATCCATTTTGACCTCATCAATTATTCGCTCACAACGTTCGTTGTTTTTACTTGAGTGTGGGCGCTCATTGCCTACTTCGTGTTGGGAATGTTAGATCCCCAGAACTCGCTTGATAAATGCCTTATTTTGGATTTCACTTTTGCCAACATGGGCTGATCAATTGACCTTGAGATTTCATTTCCCACCCGGAAAATCCATGGCTGTGATTGGCTGCTGTGTATTTTAGTGTGCTGTTTTTGTGACTGTCCCAAGGACGTTTCCATGATGTATAAATAAACGAGAGTTGTGTGCTTGATTGTATTGTGATTGCTGGTTGTTGTAGAATATACTTTCTACGCTTACATTGATATTGGAACTCGATACCAACGCATTAGAAACGGAGCTATTGAATTCAGAGAAATATTGACTTGTGTAACGACGAAGAACTTTATTTTATTCCTAAAGCTTTGAATCTGTATGTTTTCAATGAAATTCCCATCTGTTCATTGACGTCCTGAAAGCGAAATAAAACTACGGTGAACATAATTCAACCACTGCTCAAAAATGGATACTGAAGTGAATTTAATTATTATGTAGGCACTTAGTTGTGATTCGCATGTCAAATGTGAAGGCTAGTTAAACTATCCGATCGACCAACAAAATTAGTTTTGTTTAATAAAAGAAATATGTTCACGTTATCTTATTGATTGAGCACAAATAATGCTACTTAATAGTAAGTTAGTAGTAATAACTAAAATTGATTATACTTTGGTGACACACCAGTAGAGTAGGACTGATAGCAAAATACCGAATTTCGAACTCTCTACTAGTATGTACGGAAAATCTCAGAACTTCAAGATCGTTTGACAAACACAATTCTTTCAGACTGCTGAGTTTCAATCTAATAGTCTAATTTTTCTGTTTCAACTGATCCACGATACAAACTAGAATTAGATTCGATGGCTGAAAAAATTAATGGCAAATTAATGAAACACAGAAAAATGTCTGTTCAGATGACATGATTTCAATAAAGCAAATAGATATTTGGAAAATGGATCATTCAGTACTGATTTTCAGTTGTTTACAGTGATTAATTATTGTTCTCTTATGTAATTGCTTGCTGTTAGTTTGATCATATACTTTAGTAAATGAATGAATGAATAAATTTAATAGTTTTTGTGCTTTATTAATCAGTTTTTCTGTTCCTAGCTTTGGTAACGTTATGAACATATATGCTGAAAGAAGTCACCAATTATCTGCAAACATAACGTCTTAGCCCTAGTTTGAAAATCAAATGACACCTCCATAATAACAACTAAGACAACATTGTAAACAGTTGATGGGAAACCACAAAGTATAATGAATTCAAATTATTTTGCCTCAGTTATCGTTCTTGCTTTATTTAAATTAATAAAGGGAACAAACTATGAGGAAGTTTTAAAGAACCGCCTTCCTAATCATGTTTTCAATTTAATCAATCTTTTGGTGACAACCTGTTGCAGAATATCAAGAGAAGTAACGAGACTAATGTTTCCTGAACAGCTGATGAGTGATGGATGCCTTTCCCACCAAAACTTTCAAGCTTTGTATCCATGTAAAATACCTCCCTCATTGAAAAATCTACGTGTCACAAAATCCCAAATCGAATACACCAAGAATTTTATCTGTAAACTCAAAACAGAATCCCTTGCTTTTGATAGAATTGTTATGAATTTAAATATGTTACATCGAGTTAAACTCATGAATGTTGTTCAAAAATAAGCCATCAATTTATGAACACATTTGTAAATGAACAGAAATATCATCTAACTCCTATTAATAATCCAAAGAAACATATATCATATTCTTCAAGCAAAAAGCTAAGTTGCATTGAAACGGAGGCTCTCATCCTCAGATTTGAATTTCGTATCCCAAAAGTGTAACAGAATCGACAACTTTAGTTTGAGTATTTATATTAATAGCTATCAGATCTCAAACCTATGAATGATGAAAAAGAAGGTTGACTGAACTCGAAATTAGTAGATATAACTAATCGGTATGTTAAAACACTAATTTCACAATCGTAGCTGCTAATTAAAGACCATCATGAAGCGTTGGGAATACTTCTAAAAGCTGAAAAAATAATGCTGCCTCAGCCAGATAAGGGTTATGGCGTTGTCTTATATAGAGACGAATACATCAGCAAAGTAATATCCATTTTAAATGGTTCTATGAGATTCTAGAAAGACCTGAAAGATGCGACGTATGAACCACTCTTTAAAAAGGTAGGAGAACTCCTGTAGAATAATCGGATAGATAACTCTACCTATAACGTATTCAAGCCGAAAGGATCACAATAATCTTACTTATATGGTTTACCCAAAGCACAAACCAAACATCCTGATGGCTAAATCACTTTTCCACAAACTAGTTGATTAACTGTTAAGATCCACTCCGCAAACATCTAGCTTCCTACAGTTTGAAGGATAGTTTTAGATTTGTCAAAAACACTTTCTAGCTTAGATGTCTTTGATAAATTTATGGTATCTTTCGACGTTTCATCACTCTTCACAAGAATTCCTCTGAAAGAAACGGTTGAAATTATCTGTCTATACCCTGAACTCATCCATTTAATAATTAATTAATTCAGATGGAAAACTACAAGGTCACTTATATCGCAATTACATATGGAATGAAATTTATCTAAATGTAAAACCGCTGTCCAATCATTAACAAAGAGGAGATCGTATGAACTGTTTTTGACATCACTTGGAAACTTTTTTCTAAAGAAAGCCTGTATGATGAACTTGTTTTCATTACATCCGGTCAACGTGAAAAGGTCTACCCACCGGAGTTTATCGATAAGTATGCCAAACCTAACTCATGAATCAATTATGATACAGTAAAAAATAAATCCTTTTTCATTTATCTGCCCTTCAAAGTGGATGAAATTACTAGAATTATTGATCTCAGGATGAACACCACGTTGAAGATTGTTTACCCAACAGCAAGACCTATATTAAACGTTTTATGAAACGAACTTCCCACTCAAACAAACATAAATTGAGTAGTCCTCTTTTCTTAGTACTTCCAGCAGAATTTACCAGTTTACATGTGCATGCCAAAAACCAAACATTAGAAGAATAAAGAGAAGAGTACGTGTTCGCATTTTCGAACACATTTCTAAGAAGTTGAAACATAGGTGCAAACATACTATATGATGCATTAGCTTGTAATTTAATTGATACTGGACAGATCGTTGATAAAATCATAAACCTGATTTATGTGTTCAAAGAGAGAAGCTCATTGAATTATCGCCAACTTGATAATTCTTACTACTGATTGCCATTATTATTATTATTATTATTATTATTATTATTATTATTATTATTATTATTATTACTGTTATTATTATTGTTTTCATTTTTTTTATGCAATGTTCATTAAACTAATTTCTATTTTATGTACGCCAAAGTCATTTTGTTCATTCACTTTTCAAAACTTATGTAAACCCCTACAAATCTTGCTTTCTTATTATGTAACCCTTCAATTACTAATTATAGATAACTGACCTGAAATTTCCGTAAACTGTTGATAATTATCACACGACCCAACTTATCTGTTTCCGGACTTCATGTAATTACCTTCTCAGTCTTTATGTTCTTCATTTGAACTGAACCTTTAAATGACCTCAAATTCTATTCATGTATATATATATATATATATATATATATATATATATATATATATATATATATATATATATATATATATATCAAGTTACACATTTGAAATCATGAATTGATCAATGTTAGACCATCATTAGAAACCTGGAAGCATTGGACGGCTGATGAGTCGCATACCAGGACGAAACGGCCATCCAGTGCTTTCAGGTTTCTAATGATGGTCTAACATCGGTCGATTCATGATTTCAAATGTGTAACTTAACAATCTTCACAGCTCTGTAATACAATATGTATAAAGGATGAGTGAATATTATTTTCATGCAGTTTTGTTCTCTTTATGAATTTAAATAAAGTCAACATGATTGTTATTAATCTTTGCTAGCTTAATCCCTTCCGTTATCACTGTCAGTTACTTCGCAGTATATCAAACATCATTGTTATACTTTCTTACATATACAGATGTAAATAACAAATGGAGAACTACGAAAGATAATGAATTTATAATATTCTGCCTCAATTGTTGTTTTGACTTTATTTAAATTTATATAGGGAACAAACTGCATGAAAATAATA